TAAGAGGACTTGTAGGACTTCGACTTGTTATTGGATTAGAGAAAGAGAATCAATTCAAGACATAACTGGGTGAGAATGGAAAGATGTGAACAATATGAAGTTTCGGTACAACAATGAAATGCTAAAAATATTATTAGATGAATCTGTATTTTGTTCATTATGAAAATAAATCTTGGATAAAAGCGTGAAAATTGTACTTTATTTTTTACAATGTTCTTTTCTTTGGATAAACTGTGGTACTCAGACTGTCGAGTCCGTAAAAAGCTAACAATAAATAATAAAGAAGTGATCAAACTATAATCTCTCACAATGTACTTGATAAGCCTAAATTAACCACGTATACTTAATAAGTATTGCATATACTATGACGAACCTCAATGACGATATAAAACTGAAAATAAGTTTTTGGCAGATGTAAAGTTAACCAGTAACAATGAGATGAAGAACTTGGCTTCTAGTATCCAAGTTGCTTTACATTTTGGGAAGAGTTACGATTGATAAAGTAAAGTTTTGTATACACAAACAGTTATATTTCTGTCTGATACAAACGTTTCTACCACAAAACTATGTACTTAATCTATAAAGATATAACTAACGAAACGGCGTGACAAAGGAGTGTTGGAACTGAGGATATTTCATGAAGTGAAATTTTTAAAAATGACATTCTATGTAACATTATTTGAAACGGCAAATTCACAATTTTTTTCGATCAATGTTCCATTATTCCAAATAAATTCCGAAACTGTTGGACAAAAAATTGTAAAATTAAAGAATTAAACTTCCAACATTTCTACTACTACTTTTGGAATAAAAAATAGAAGTTAAGACTAAACTATTAGTGAAATATAATGAATAATTGAAGTTCTAATTTGATGTCAACTCTCAATACTACTTACGAAAATACAATGAAAAAGATAATATTAAAAAGTGTTTTCAATCTATGATCAAGGCTTAAAGTAACTAGCAGAAATACCAGCCCTCCGGGTAGATATAACTGCTAGTTCCCGTGGAAGGCTATTGGGTCTGCGGCCTTTTCTGAAACTGTCTGAGAGTTCTACAACAATAATGTTTACCATCCATGAGAAAAAATATTTTATTGAAAATTTAGTTTAAAAATGAGCTGTTATCACAGCATTACATCACAGAGTAGTTTTTATTGAAGACTTTCTTTGTAGACGCAGTTATCAATGAAAGTGCCTTGCTTTTATTCTGCAACACTCATGAGATTTTCACTAAAGAAAAGTAAATATTTTTTGATTGTTTTATATTTGAAACTTACTTTTAGTGGGACGGGTGGTTGATGTAATCCACTATATTTAAAGTAACAACCCCATTACCTTTATCCGGTAGGGATTACAATGTTCTTACTAGTTTACAAAGTTGTTATAAAGCTCGAATTTTACAGATAAGCTATATATATCAAGACGAGCCAATAAGCAACCATTGTTTCACACACTGCTTGAAATAATGTACTGAGTCTTCGAAAACATCCCGAAATTCATTAAGTCAAGTTATGATTAATCATTATGCTTAAATTAACTTTGATTAGGTTAATCACTAAACGATTAACGTGATTAATTTGACCCTTACGAAAATAACAAATCAAATATTACCTCTACTAGGGCAAAATGCGATAATGCTTCTGTTACTCGACAGCAGGAATATTAAGAATTTTGTACTTCAGAGATTATTGGTAAAGACAAACTGGAGCAGGAACTATAAAAGTAGTTTGTTTTACTTCATCTACAGAGTGCAGATATGACGCAACGTAGTTGATAAGCCGTGACTGTATGAAAATCATCAATAAAATTATTTTAAAAGTAGGTTGTTTTATGACCTCCGCCACCGAAGGTTATATTTTCACCCCTGTGTGTGTGTGTGTGTGTGTATGTTTTGGTGTTTGTCAGCAAGATTTCTTGAAAACGGCTGAATGGATTTGGACGGAAGTTGGTATACATATGGATTATGATTCAATTTAAAAGTGGTTAATTTTTGGAGGGTCAAAGATCAAGGTCACGAAAAGCAAAAAAAAAAAATCCCTATCACTTAACATGTGGACCGATTTTTGCCTTCGCCACTGAAGATGAACGGAGGTCATGTTTTCACCCCTGTGTGTGAGAATGTTTGTGTGTTTGTCAGCAAGATTTATCGAAAACGGCTGAATGGTTTTGGATGAAAGTTGGTATACACTTGGACTATGACCCAATTTAGAAGTGTTTAGTTTTTGGAGGGTCAATGTCAAAGTTCAAGGTTACGAAAATCCCAAAATCCCTCTCTGTTGATATGGGGACCGATTTTTCACACTATTTTTGCTCTATAACTCAGTCAAAAATGATCGGATTTTGATGAAATTTGGTGGACATATGTAGAATATTATTCCTCATTGTTCTGCGAAAAAGAGAGTCTCAATGACTGCGAGGTTAAACCTAAATAAGCTTAATTTATTCCATAATATGTGATACCCATTAAACGTCTCTAGTACAAAATACACTTTGGGCCAAATGGTGCGATGAAAAAATTACAAACCGATCGACTTATTTAGTAAAAGATATCAGATCTAGCGACGCTTTCAAAATTTGGATGACGGGGGCAAATATTAAAATTTCATATGGTGACGTTACCGGTATTCTAAGTGTCTATAAACAAATGAAGAAATTCACACACAAAACCTTAACACTGCTGTCTGATATGGAGCTTTGGGGGATGACAAAACCATTTCCTTTGATATATTTCTCTTTGAAATTCTTAGTACAACTACACCCACCCCTTACGTATATCTTGACGTCGTCCGTACTTCCCGAACCCTAATTTTTACATAATTTAATATGGTTTAAAAGCTTCCCACGCACGCACGTTACCCTTTTAAAACCGAGTTCATATATCGTGTAACGTTTTAACCATTTAAGCATTAAATAGGATTTAATTAAAGACTGATTTTGCCAGAATTATATTTTCAGTCTAGCAGTAATTAATTTGATTTACATCTTCGATATTTGTTTTTTCTAAAACCCTTTTAAAACCGACATTCGTTTGAAACTATTAATAAAAATACACCTTTTTATTTTCGTTAGTACTTCTGTTTTTCTTTAAAATAGTAACCGATGTTACGTATTAGAATTTCAAATAGTCCAAGCCGAGTTAACTGATAATTTAAATTTAGTAGTTAAATTGTGATTTGGATTTAGTATTTAAATGTATGCCGATATTTTAGTCAATTTACGATATTTGCCAACAAGATTGATACACACCGTTTTCATTTTTAACACAAATACGTTTTAATATACATACAATTTACAATAACAGTTATTACAAATAGTTCTTGCAAAGAAAGATTTATAAACAAAATTTTCACAAACTTCCAAACACTATAAAGTTTTCTTTCTAGTCCGGATCTTCCTTGATATCTTGTCGAGGGTTTACGATGGCCGAGTTAATTACGAGTTGATGTAAGTAAGATTCGACGGGAAGCTAGCTTGTAAATCCACTAATGTTAAACGATTTGTAACGTTCGAAATTTATAAATATTCCTGGTCAAAAATCTTAAGTTTTCCCACTGATAATCGTTATAAAAATCACAGCTGTAGCTTTCGAAGTTTATAGTACACTAATTATAGCGAACTACTAATAGACACACTATTTGGCGCATCGCGTTGGTTGTATTTATAGGCGTGGGAAGGTTTTCTAAAAAATTCAGATTACCTAACAATACTGAGCTATATTTAAACGTTTACGTATATAGATATATTGTTGATTCCTACTCTCGATAATCTTCAACAACTTTGGAGAATAAGCGGGAGTTTCGCAATACATATCTAACATTACAAGCTATGCATGTTTTTAAATATAAACTCAATCTAAACAACGTTCATATTAAAATAGATATATAACAACAAATTCGTTACACCGAGTTTTCAGCACACATAATCAATCAATATGATATTTATTATGATTCGTTTTTTAAAAACATTTGAAATTTTGAGAACATATCACTCTCTTCACAATAGATCGTAAACTTTTGAAGATACATTGCGTTAAACTCCCTTTAATCTTAAAAAGAGGACATATAGTTTCCAAAGATACATGACATCCAATCAGTTATCAAATATTTTTCTGTTTTCAAAAGGAAAATTAACTTCTTATTATACATAGTTATAAACTTGCTATTCAAAGCCCCCTTACTTTTCAAAACAAAAACTAAAACTTGTTACTAAATTCTCTATCAAATTGGTGAATAATATCTATTGAAAAGGTGCCCATTTTTTAGTTTGCCCTCTGTTTTCAATAATAATAGTGTTATTATTTCTAAAGACAGACAACATCCTATATATTACTGGACGGTCTTCTCATTTCGAATTAGACAAGTCTTACTACATAAACAATTGTTTTTTGACATAACTCCGTTTTCAAATGAAAAACTACTCCTACAGATAGGTGGAGTTAAGTTTGTTATTAACGCCTTCCTTTAAATAAAGACTAACTTCTAAAGAAACTTGATGTCCAATTTAATAAGTGACTGCCCCTAAGTATCTTCTAATACTACATAATGTTAAACTTACGAATGAGTACTCTTGTCGTTTTAAATACGTACTGATTGCTATTTTTATGTAACAACTTCAAAAGGTATACCTGGTTGATATTAATTCCACACCTTTTTTACATTTTATAATAAACATCCAATCTGTTACAACTCTTTTTTCCTTTGCACAAAATCTAAGTTAAGTGTTACAAATATAAAGCGTTAACCTTGCTCGATTGCACTTATCTTTCAAAAATCATAGGCAAGATAAATTTGCTTTTGACTGAATTGCCGAATTTCAAAACATAAGTTATTTCCAAACGTAGAAGAAATTTTTTTTTTGGTCTGCGATTTATGAAAAACATATTTCTCTACAAGTATAAAACTACAGTAATACATACATTCAGTTTATTTAGAGCCACATATTTAATCTGATAGATTTCTTGTTAAGTTGGTAAACATAATAAACAATTGTCGTACTTACAGTAATTAATATTATATCCGGTGGTTGGAGCCCTGTGGTTACCTTGCAAGTCCTGGTCCATTTCTATTTCACTGTAGGGCAAAGCCATGTCCTGGCGCTCGGAAGTCTGGGTGGACTGGCGATTCTAGTAATGTACGATACTACATGAGCTCATGAAAAATGTATCTAGAAGCAGTTGTTGTTTGCTGCTGGCGTAGTGACGTTTAATAAGCCACCTCAAAACTTTGTCTGAATAAAACTCACTTAAATAATGCCCACTACCCCTCTACTATTTGTAATGAAAGTAAATACCCTTTATAATTAGATACAAAGCTTTGTGATGTTTTGAAAATAATATAAAGTGAAAAACGCTACAATTACTGCATTTAATTCAACGGTAAACACGGTCGATTAGAAAGGTATGGTTGAAATGGTTTTTGTAATTAGCAGAAATGACTATAAACAACCAGTTAAGCTGGCTTTAATTTCCGAAACAGCGATGACAACGAGTTTCGTACCAGTTGCAACCTACTTTCAACAAACAGTTATAATAACATGAGTTACAACTCTCGTGCCTTATATTAAGAGCGTGCATGCCAAATGTCTGAGTAAATGTGCAGGAAACTGACAGTGGATATCTACGCTTGGTACTACTTGATAACCGCTTAAAAACCCAGAACTGCTCGTATAGCCCTAAGACTTTCACCAGTATTATACCAGACATCGATCTAATGTGACAGCAAAATCAAATCAATTATGACTTTCAAAGCTTTGCGAACAAAATGACGTTATAAGCAGCATGTTCATGTAGATTATATAAATGAACTTTATCTACATATTGTTGAGTCGGTTTTTGTACCACCATCACGTAAGAACGTTTATAGTCGGTTGTAAAATTGAAATTGATTTTGTGTTAATAAACAACATTGTGGTTTGTTCACAGAAAAACTGGCTTAACAATATACTTGTCTGTTTTATAAGTCTGTATGATAATATATTCTAAAACAATCACTCGTAAATGTAAATATTTATAGATTTATTTTAAATAGGCTGAAATCGATTTAAACAGTGTTGTAAATTTTTGCTGACTTACAATCTTATTTTATAATGTATATGTCCAAAACTCGGATCTCGAAAACTCCCTCCCCGATCATCACCAATTATAACTGGGTAACATTTTTATAACTAGGCAGTATTTTTATAGCTGAGCAATAAATAAAACAATTGAAATTTCCACAAAAATGATATGTTTCAGATTTAACCAATAAAAATTACAAAAAAGGCATGCTCGCCCTTTCAGCCGTGGAGGGCCTTATAATGTGACGGTCAATCCCACTATTCGTTGGTAAAAGAGTAGCCCAAGAGTTGGCGGTGGGTGGTGATGACTAGCTTGCACTGCTAAATTAGGGACGGCTAGCGCAGAGAGCCCTCGTGTAGCTTTATGCGAAATTCAAAACAAACAATACATCAACCAAGTGGAAGTTATTCTGAGTGATACTAATAAGTATATAAAAAGTGGGAGTTATCTCACAGTAACCAGAGAAGCCAAACTAAGCGATACCTTTTAAAGCTAAAAAAAAGATGGCGTCACAACAGAATACATGTTCCAAAATATCATACCAACGGGTTCACTGGCTAAGGTTTTTATATGGACTCCCTAAGGTTCACAAAAAGGCTTATCCAATTGGATCAACCAGTTGTTTCTAGTGTAGGCACCGGTAATTGCCAATATTTTAACTATTGCCAATATTTTAAACACTATTTTTTTGAAAGAGTTTCTACAGAATGAATATTTTGACAAGGATAATTCTGAATATGTCGATACTTAAAACAGACACGTATCAATGATGACGTTTCATTGTGCAAGGCCCAATTTTGTATTGTTTTTGTTTGTTTGTCTTTGAATTTCGCGCAAAGCTACACGAGGGCTATCTGCGCTAGCCGTCCCTAATTTAGCAGTGTAAGACTAGAGGGAAGGCAGCTAGTCATCATCACCCACCGCCAACTCTTGGGCTACTCTTTTACCAACGAATAGTGGGATTGACCGTCACATTATAACGCCCCCACGGCTGAAAGGGCAAGCATGTTTGGTGGGACGGGGATTCGAACC